TTTGTAATGACAACGTAACCACTAGGAGGGTTTCCAATCACATTAAAACTGCGCAGACAGGAATTACAAAGCATAGTTTCGCTTTAGAGAAACAGAGCAATTATGAAAAATACCTGCTTTTTTTGTAATAAAGTTTTTTGCGCTATGATGAGGTGATTTTTTTTTTTTTTGCTTTATCAAAATTAGAATATTTTGCAAAATTACATTAGCAACACCTTTTCACACCACACAAGTCACATGATCAACAACCAGACGTTACTACAGGCAGACAGGAAGTGGTAAGAGGATGAAGGCGCCTAATGTCATGTGAACAAACTTATTCACGTGTAATTTTTTTAAAAATTGCGCTTCTCATTTAATAGAAACACCGCGGTTGCAAAATTGCGTTTTGTCGACATCGGTGGAATATCGACAAAGTTTTGCGTACATTCGTCATGGAAACGTTGTTATTGTTGGCTGTAAAGCCGGTACTTTGCACCGGCTGGTTGCAGCTCCACGAACACCGCTGAGTTTTCTCTACAGACAGAGACGAGGACTTACAGGCAGAGATTGTGAGACAAAGTGGCAAAAAAAAAAAAAAAAAAGTGAAAGAAGGTGTAGATTGATGACAACATGACGAGGTGGCCAGGGGAGTCGAGGCAAGAAAAGGTGTGATGAAGAGCCCAGGAGAAAAAAGAAGGTGATGACAGAAAGTCAAAGAAGGAGATTCGTTCAAGCTCCATGAAGTCGATTCTCTCTCCGACGTTGGGTTTTATTAGTTAAATTAGTAGACCATAAAACGGTTTCCAGTCTGAACTCTACATTTTCAGCAACTTCAAGGACAGCTACAAAAAAACAAACAAAAAAAACGCAGCTGGTTGAGTTATGAATCATACTCACTTCTTCAGCCAATCTGCTATATCCTTTGGGGTAGCGCCGTAGTTTTCATAGTGATGAAGGAATTTCCCCTTCCTGGAAGATAAGATGATGATCACGGATCAATTTCAAGTCAGCAGCTGACTTGAACAATAAATGTTACCCAATTTGTAAAAAAAAAAAAAAAAAAGACTAATTACTGAATGAAGTTAGTTGCCACAACTCAAACCTCCTTCCTTATAGTTTAAATAAGCCTGAGAAACTTAACATAAATCCCTATGCTAGAAGTTTGTCAAAGTGACAAAATGTAAAGACACTCAAAGGTGAAGAAACTCCAGAAATAGTCTGACGATACAGATGGCAGTCCAGGCTTCTGATTAACCACCAAGTATTAACAGCATCAAGTTATGCAGTAGCACAGTTTCTGCCTAATGACTTGCTTGATGCAAAGGAGCAAAAAAAAAAAAAAAAGAAGTCAGTGGCAAGCTTGCAATTTCTTCAGTGTTCCTACCAGCCGCTGAAATGTTTAACATAAGGAGAAATAATGTGCTCTTTCAGCATCCCAATGAAAAGATAACAGAGTTCAGCACTGTTTGATCGCTGATGCTATGTGTGTTTTTTTAAAGCCAGGACTATAGTTCCTCAACTCTCTGTAGAATCTGCATAAAAATAAACTAAAATCAATGTGGACAAAAGGTTTATGCCTTTACGTAAGTCAAACTCTGAATTTAGGGGGAGTTTTGACATGCTTGGTATGTTTTTCATTGTATAGTAGTTTGTATTTTAAGCCTGAAGGTGCACTGAAGTAGAGGAAATGACAATATAGAACATTTAAAGTGAAATTAAGACAGAGTTTCCTCACTAGGCCTGCAACCAACGATTATTTTTAGTCATAATCGTTGGCTGCAATGGTTATGATGACGATTAGATCAGATTGTGACCAAAACGACTAAAATACTCAATTTGGTCTCAATCTATGACTAAATGACTACTGAAACGAATAATTGACTGTACTGATTTTTATTCGATTAATCGATTATTCATCACAATATTTTGACGATTAATCGAATAAAACATTTGTACGATCAGCAGATTTTTCATTTAACCTCATCTCATGTAACATTAGAAACGCATAGGACAATTTAGTTTTTCATTCTTTTAAAAATGAGAAAATAAACATTTCATTGCCTGGAAACAAATACCAAAAAGTTATTCCAGTGAACAATCAATCATTTGTATCAAAGGATTCATCTGCAGCTAAACAAAAAAAATAAAAAAATACTCCTGTGAAAAGCTCAGTCCTTTCTGCTCAACTTAACAGAAGTGATAATTATCTTTTTTATTTCCTGATTAATAATTAGATAGCAAAATTTACAGAATTTGTACCAGATGAAGCTAAAATATGTTCAGGCATTTTTTTTAAAATGCAAACTATATATCTTTATTTTGTACGGTTATTTGCTACTCTTACACTCTTCCTTAAGCAAATACCCTTCTTTTGAGTCTGTATACTCCAGTAAACGATTAATCGATTACTAAATTAGCTGACGATCATTTCAGTAATCAATTCGTCACGATTAATTGTTTCGGCTCTATGCTTTACAGCATAAAAATAAGCTATTAAAAACTTAACGAAGTTCCCGTTTTCCAGCCTCTCTGGCTCTCTGGCCCAGCATCACAGGATGAGTGTCGGCCACCGCGGCTCCGCGACTCTGCGCACACTGGTGACGACAGCAGCCAGAGGCTCCCGGGACGTAAGAATGGACGTGATTAAAGGCGACGCGTGGTGGCACTCGCCTGCATTCGGAGCGTTTTAGGGGAACCGACTTCCGCGGGAGGAAAGAGTGGCTTGCTTGGAATTCAATCAGTGAGATTTATGACCAACTCTGTATTCCACTGTTTTAGCTCTCCAGCTGTAAAGTACAATAAAACCCCGCAAAATCATGCTGAGGAAGTTTTGATATAAACTCCCCGCCCCCGGCTGACGGTCTCAGCGGCTTTTCTTTGTTGGAGTATAAAGCAAGGATAAAAAGGTTGAATGTTCTTTTTTTTTTTTTTTTTTTTCCAAAATTTTAATAGAACTTTTTAGGTTTGGCTAAACTCTTGGGAAGCACACTTTCTTTCGCTGCCAGGAGTGAAAACATTAGAAGACCTTGAAAAAGTTGGTCTCCCTAGCAGCGGGTGCTGCGGCGAGATAACTGAAGGTGTTGATGCCGATTTACTTTGCCGTGATTAGCTGCAGTTTATCAGCCAGGAGCTCATTATTGAAGCCAGTGGACTTGGACGGTCATTAGCTAGCTCTGCTCAGACACTAATGCACTTCCAGCTAACAGACTGGCTCCAGTTCTGCAGCAGGTGGGGGTGGGGTGGGCGCGTGCGGGGCCGTGCACGAGAGAGGGAGATGCGCAGATGTACAGGAAGAGAGGAGGAGAGCACGCAATTTCTAACCACAGAGGCACTTAATCAGTCCCGGCCTAATTAAAAGGCCAGACTGGAAAGAAAGAGTGTTTAATGTGGAAATGGGGATGATAAAGCCGGAGCGGGGGCGCGCTGGCATCCAGGAAATCGAATAGTTAGGAAGTGTTTCGGCCTGCCATGTCAGTGCAGTGGACTTTCTTTGACCCTCAGCTGTCCTTTTATTAGAATGAACAAAAAAAAAAAAAAAAAAAAAAAACTAAAATTGTTTATATGGAGTTTTTATTTTACTTCTTTATCTCTTAAAGTTCCCTGGAAACTTGGGTATCAAATGTTGTTGAAAAATCAAGAGATTTTAAAGGAGGGTTATTATGTAAAATCAACTATTTTTAAGCTTTTTATCATGTTATGATGTTATTCCCTTGTCAATAACATACCTGGTGAGTTGCTTTAATTCATTTCATCTAAATGCTTCAACCTTTAGAGATGATACAAGCAGAGGTGGGCAGATTATCCAAAACCTGTACTGAAGTAAGAGCAGGACTACTTATATTTTTATTCAAGTAAAAGTGAAAAGTAGCCATCCAAGAAATTACTCAAGTAAGCTTAAAAAAGTCATTTGATAAAAAGTCTTCTCAAGTACTGATAACTGATCACATTATCAATTATTTAATATTTTAAAATTACATCATCACGTGGACTAAAATATTAAGTTGAGTGGAAATTTTAGTATTTTAAGGACAGTAATTTATATAAGTAACAAAAAATAAAGTCGGGCAAAAGAAAATTTTTCCAAATCAGTTTGTTTCAGTAGAAAACTGACGAAACTTCAACAAAACCTGCAGGTGTGTGTCTGTGTCTGGTGAAATGTTGGTTAAAACATGTTTGTTCTTTATCCAGCGGGAAGAAAATCCAGAAATTTTACTCAAGTATGAATGGAAATACTTCACAATAAAATGACTCAAGTAGAAGTAAAAAGTACAGTGTAATAAAAAAAATACTCTCAAAACTGTAAGTAAATTTAATAGAGTAAATGTGACTAGTTACAACCCAAGGAAAGGTACAAACTCAAACCAGGAACCGCTGCGTACCGTTTAGTCCCACCAAATTACAATGATTTCCTCCAAAGGAGCCCAGTGTTTCTAGAAATAAAAACCTCACCTATACTCAGAGTGAAGTAACCAACACTTGAAGTCTACGCTTTCAGGTTTAAGTCTGCCACCCGCTTGTGTTCAACAGATTACGTTTTCTGTTTGAAGTGGCCTGGAAAGCGAGCGGCCGAGCCTCGAGACGAGGCTTAACGAGGCAGATGACTCAACTTACTCAAAGTAGCAGAAGGTCGGGTAGCCTTTGACGTTGTACTCCTGCTTAAGGCCGTCAAACTCAGCCGGGTGAACGTTCATCCCTGCCAGCACCTTTGGAACAAATCAGAGAGAGCCAGAGAAAAGCGGGACGTTGAGTTGTCAGGGAGGGGATGAAAAGTGACGGCGAAGGCTAAGGAGGAAAGGACATCAAAGCCGGTTAGCCACCGTCAGAGAAGAAGAGTTTAAACGGAAAGAGAACATTAAAAGAGACGTCTCGTAGATGTTTTAGACCAGAATAATGGAGAGAAAAAGGCTCAGAAGTTGAGGATCAATCGGAAGGAGCGAGGTTTTAAAACTTTCGAGGTTGTTCGAGGAAAAGAAAAGTGACTTTTTTTTTTTTAACAGCGACGTTAATATATATGTCAAGGTGATTTCGAAAGAGAGCACCTTTCACTGTGGCAAAGGGATCATCTAAGGTTCACCTGAAAGCTTCAGAAAAGCCCGACCAATTCTCCGAAGCGATCTGTGAAAATCTCACTTAAAAACGGCCGACGCTTCTGCAGGAGCTCAAAGCAAATATTGCACTAAACTGCAAAACGCGTACGATTTAGCTGAAGAGAAAAAAATAAACGTCAGAGTTATGCCAAACTCTTTCTCTTCTGCACCAGCAAACGTGATGAGAGCGCCGCCAAAGTGAACCTAATCACTGGAAATAAAACAACTTCCCTGCAGTATCTTTGGAGTTTCTCCCTTTTCTTTTCAGTCAGACTTAATGAAACACATCGGATGCTGCACGCGCGCTGTCTCCCTCGTCCTTGACTGAGACGGGAAATGGGTTACACAACTTGGTTAAGCTCCCACTCGACGTTCGCTTCAAATCAACGTGGGAGGCGGCGGCGGCGGCAACGCTCTGAGAATCAGCAGAGCATCCAGAAAATATTCGCAGCGCTTCGCTTTCTCCACGATGTGCCGCGCTACGGCCTCACTCCACATTGCCATAATCTTTTTCTTTCCTCCAAATTGTGTGCACAGATATGCCATAATTAGAATGTGGAAAAGAGTTTTTTTTTGTTTTGTTTTGCAAATTTACTAAAAATAGAATACCAAAAATTTTTTTTAAAAAAATCACATTTAGATAAGTATTCACAGCCTTTTCTCAATATAGAGTGATTCTGAATCCTCTGAGATGTTAGCCATTAAATACGTGTCATGGTTTATGTTTACTGTAATCTCCATTAGCATCAGTAGCAGCTACATCAGATATTCTTCAAGCTGGGGTCAGTTTGCATAAAAAAAAGGACAGATTAAAGTTACCAAAAAAAAAAAATCATATTACAGACGAAGTATTAAAATACCACATTTCCATTTTACATCACTTTTAAAGAAAGACGGTGTTTAGTTCAAGATGGGGAAATATTTTAGATTTCCCTTTACATGATAAAGGCAGAGACTAAACACAAGTAAGTAGGTTAAAGTGGCATTTTATCTTTATAGATCTTGTAAAGCCAAACTGGAAGGACTTTAGTCATTAACAGCAGATAAAGGTGCGAGCTGAAAACGCGGTCAATAAATTCTGCGTCTGCAAACGCTGCCTTGCAAAGAGTAACGCTAGCTGTTTGGTGAGACGCTGCGATCGCAAACTTTAATAGATTTTATTGAGATTTAGTGGGATAGGGCAACACAAAAGAGCATGTAGGTGTGGAGCGGAATGGAAAATGAACTGTTTTTTTGTTTTTTTAATTAATCTGAAAAGTGCGGCATACATCTGTAATCTGGATGCAAAGTTGATGCATTTTAGAAAACCTGTTGCTGCTGCTACAGCTTTTGGGTTCTGTCTGTTACACACAGACAGACTAAACATTTTTTACCCAATCTTCTTAACTCAAGCTCAGTGAGCCTGGATGAACATAAACTTTGTTACAGACCGGACTTTGACTGGGCCATTCTAAGACATGTATATGCTTTTATCGAAGTTATTTCACTGTAACTCTGGCTGCGTGTTTTGGGTTGTTCTCCTGGTATCAGGTGAATCTGCAACCAGATTCTCACATCATGATACTGCCACCACTATGTTCAGCTGTGGAAAAACACTCAGAGTGCTGCGTAAAGTTTTCCGCCACAGAGTGTTTGGACTTTGCCGATGTGGACATAATGGCCACAGATCAACACACTTGCACGCGTTTCAGGATTTTATTTGTGTAAAGTTTCTACTAAACTATGCTTAATTTTCCTTTTGTTTATCACTGAGTGCTCATTTGTGCGGTCCATTTTATAATCCCAATAAAATACAGTGAAGTTTGTATGCTGTAAGGTGACAAAGTGTGAAAAATCTCAACAAGGAACAAATTAAAAACCAGACAGAAACAAAAATATTAAAAACATGTCTGAAAAGACTGACAGACAAACCCCTGAATAGATCCTTGTGCTAAAACTCAGATCAAATCTAAATCAGGTACAGTCTCAGAAAGTCATCTGAAGGTAATCTGGGTTATTAAACATTAAAACCTACAGAGCGCATCTGATGGCGTCTTAAATAAAATCCAAAAAGTCTCTTATTTAAGACCGGCAGGCGGTCTGAACTACTTTAACAAGTTTAACACTTTCTTAATCTGCAGAAAAACCGAAGGAACGGGATCAGACTGTGGAGACTTGCTGCAACAACACAACGGACAGGCGACACACTTACATATTTGCCTTTTGTTTCTGTGGCCGCCTGCTGAAAAACAGGCTGCATCCTCTTGCAAACGCCGCACCCTGCAGATAGAACAACAACACGGGTCAAAACGTGGATATCAACCAAGAGGCAATCTTATGAAGTCATTAATCTGGAAAGTTTAGACGTTTTGATGTTTAAACAATGTGTCAGAATATTGTGTGTAATTAACATCTTAAGTAATGGTATGGAATCATGACCTCTGAAATTTCAGCTTAAAATTTAATATTTTCATCTTTCTTAAAAATGCACTATAAAGAAAACCTTTAAAGAGAGACCGATTCACAGCAATGACAGCTGTGTTTATTATTTTAAAGTTTTTAACAAACCTATTTCAGATGTGCTAACAGATGTTCTGCCATAACATATGGATGCTGCCCATTCGAACTGTTGAAGGAGTTCAGCAGAAACATGTTGGTTCAGGGCAGAGCGGCGACGACCTGCTGTTTTTATGTGAACTAATGTTATTAAAGCAACAACTCCTCTCTCATTATGAGCTGAAGACGATTTAAAAAGGTTGATGTAGAACTCCAGGGTCGAATTTGGAAGAAAAAAGGGAATTCAGAAAACTTCTTAATTCACTTTTAGTCTTCTCCCCAAGTGAGAACCAAGGGTTATTTTTTTGTTTGTTTTGTTTTGTTTTTACTGGCAGATGGTCAACGCATTAAACAAAATGAACATCGGGAAATGTGAATGTCCAACAGTAAAGCGGAGACTCACAGGGAGCGTAGAACATAATGAGGACCGGTCTTTCCTCTTTCTTCAGCAGCTTTCTGAAGTCCTGGAAAAAAAGACAAAGGGAAACAGGAAGACGATGGTGAAATGAGCAGAGATGCCATCATTACCCAGGATGAATTACAACGTGCAGCGCTGTGAGGTAACACCCTTTGGTACGGGAGTTGTGACTGATTGAAGAGGGTTAACTATTATAAACACTGATGAGTTTATAAGTGAAACCAGATGAAGCCCTTTTAGGATTTGCAAATGTTAGCAGCATTTCAGGTGTTGTAGGCATTTTAGCATCTCACCTGATGCTACCATGTTTTATCTAAGCATGTTTTTATCGTGTTTACTGCGATTTGTTGTTTCAGTCTGTTCACATTGATTTGCACATTTCTGCAATCCTGTCGTTTCATTCCAGTAGAGTTGATTAGTGTAAGACTGTGGTTTCAGTCATGCTAACTATGCTAACCACTAGCTTAGTGTGCTAAAAATGGTGTGAAATCACCTGTGCTCACTTTTAAACTCAATGACCTCTCAAGACAGGAAGTGTTAAAGCAGCAACAACAAAAATATTTGCTTTTAATGTATAATCAATCAATCAAGTTTATCTGTATAGTACATTTCAGCAACAAGGCAGTTATATCATGAAAACACACACACACACACACACACACACACACACACACAAAAATCAACAACTGAAACACTGCATACATAAGTGCGGTTACTACACAACACAATGTTGGTTAGTGTTTCATTTATTATGATACAAAAGCAACTCCAAACAGGCGGGTTTTTAAAAGTAACTCGGTGTTTCCCAGAAGTTTGCTGCAGATTTGTGGAGCACAGAAGCTTATTGGTGGAATATTATTGGTCCTAAAAGAACATGACTAAAACTGGCATCACAATCTGGCCACACATAGGCTTATAAAAAAAAAAAAAAAAAAAGTGAACATTTCAACAAATTTGACAAAAACAGATGTTTAAAAAGAAAAAAAAAGGAAAAATAAAAAAAGCATCTTTAGACACGTCTCCAACAAAGTGAAGGCTTTCGGATTTTTAGAGTGAAGATGCACGAGTCCTCCTAACAGTTTCCTCTCCTCATAATCACCATCATGACCTCAGCAACTTCCAGAACGCCACGTTCAGCACAATCTCTAGTTGACATCTTCAAGAAGCCCCACAGCGGGAAGCTGGAGAGCTGCTCCAAACTGTCAGGCTTGCTGCTCATTAAACGAAAGGCCTTTCAGCACGCTGCGCTCGCTACGGCTGGGAGTTTGACGGGCTGCATCAACTCCCAGCCCGTCAAGAGGTTTTGATGGCGGCGCTCGTCAGACTGGGCAGGATGAGAGCCGCGTGGAAACGGTTTCCGTCCTCGTGAGGTCGGGGACACAAAGACCAACATCTGACACGGGTGGAAACGACGCTCCACTGGCTTCAAACGCAAAAACTCGCCTCAAATTTTTTTTTCTTTCAACTAGACAGGAGAGGAGTCTGCTAGGCGGGAGTCCTTTGATCACGGCAGCTGAAAACCAGCGTTTAACAACGCAGCAGATGCTGCTTTAGAATCTTTAAAAAGTTCGTCAAGGTCATTTACTTACTTTCTCCGTTTCGATGTGGACGACGTCTTTTGCTTCGGGGTTCTCTTCCCACAGCGGCGGTCCCGACGGGTCCTTTAAAAATGCTACCATAGACTGGAGGATGGAAAAAAAAACAAAAAAAAAACAAAACAACAAAAAGTCAGAGTGTGTCGAAGCGATGGCTACACTCCAAAAACAAAACCATGCTGTGGACAACAATGTAATTTGTGTTAACGCTGTAAAAGTTGCTCCTAATTTGAGTTTAGCGCATTGAAACGGGATCTTTAGCGCATGACTGTGTTGAGACACAGTCATGTTTGCTGTGGATGTGATGTGATGTGTGTCTTAACGAGGCGGCAAGAAATATTTCATTCAGCAGCAGAGACCTGGAATATTTAAATCAAGTATTGGCTTGCAAAACTATTCAGATTCCTTAAACTTTCTGACATTCTGTCTTGTTACAGCTACTATATTCCATTGGGACTTTTTTTGTGACAGTGGCATAAATTAGCACTAACCTGAAGAGGAAGAAGAATGACAGTTTTCAACCTTTTTTTGTGCTTAAAGACTGAAAGGTGCAGCAGCCCTTTGTGTTCTTGCACTTTCTGTCCCAATAGTTTGTGGGGGGAAACCGCCCCCTCCGAAAAAAGAAACCCCCTCAATCTTAATTTATAACTGTAAATCTTTTGGGGAATGTTTCTACTGATTTGCACATCTAAAGACTGAATTTTTTCCTCCCTACTTCTTTCTACTAAAACTTCAACTCAGTCAGATTGGATGGAGAGCGTAGATCCATCCAATCTTTTTTTTTGTGTCATTTTAGGTTTGAGCTTTGACCGACTCATGCTAGCATGACTGCAGGACTGAAATGATTAATCAGGTTAATCACGATTAATCGATTATGGAAATAATCATCAACTAATTGGTAGTTAATAAATCAACGATTGGAGTACACAGACTAAAACAAAGAAAACACTTCAAAGAATAAACATTGTGCAATTAAACAAAAATTTACTTTTGTAAATATGTTTTACACAGAACTCCTAAAGTGGCAGTTTTACCTTCACCTGATTCAAACTCAGTAAAAAAAAAAACATATATATATATATATATATATATATATATATATAAGTATCTCTCTTCCTACTGCATAGGCTTAAGTGGCTAAATGAAAAATCTGCAGACAATTGTTTTTATCCGTTTAATTGCCACAATAATCTATAACAAAAATAATTAATAACTGCAGTGTGTAAATTAGCATGCTCTGATCTCTGATTGCATTGTCGCATTCTCCAACATGTTTGCCATGTCCCTTACAAGACTCCATACTCCATGAAATAGACATTGTTTTATAGCCTTACTCCGTTTTAAACTCCTTCACAGTCATGTCCCTCAGCCTTCAGCTGTGTTCTTTGCTCTTTGATACTTTTTGTCCTCTCCGAGTCTCTGACACGCCTGAGTGGCCTTCACTGACAGCTGTATTTATGTCGAGATAAAAATCAAAACACTCAGTTGGACTCAGTCTTAGGGGTATTGGAACCAAAAAACTGCAAGAAATACCTTGGATTTTTATTTGTAAAAAAAAAAAACATATTTGAAACAAATCAACAAAAACTGTTTTTCTGTCCATTTCTCAATTATCCAATAACTATCTAAAAGAAATACAGTTAATTTGGTGGTTTTATTGTGACAAAGTGCAGAAAATGGAAATGAATGAACTTTGAGAGGCGTGTGTGACAACATACATTTTTGAAATCAAGGTTTTCAAGACCTTTAAATCAGCTACATATTTAGTTTGATCAGTATTTTCCTTTAACATCCCTGTCAAGTTGCCAATTAAACTCTATTCTTCCAGACTGGCTTCACGTTTTGTTCCTCGGTAGTTTCAATCATGCCTCTCTGAGGGAGGATGCACAAAACACCGACATGCATCTTTACATGTACCGAGGTGAAAACTACAGCAGCCGACAAGACCTTTACGAAACTGGTCCTGAAACTCAGAGGGAAACTTAAAACTTTACTAAACCTAAGCAATTTAGCAAAACAGATGTGGATTCCTTCACAGAATAAAATCTGTTGCATAAAGCGTACAGCTCGAATAATATTTCTGTGTTTGTGCGGTGAACTGACGTAATAAAAGCGTTCCGTGCTTTATTAAATGCAGATCAAATTACCGTGTTGCTATTTATTCTGGTGCTTCTTAGAAAAACAAAGAGTCGCTATTAAAGAGTCGCATCTGCATCCATGCTGATTAAATAAAGAAAGAGAGAAAGTAGTGGAGCAATTTCAAAGTTTGCTTTTTTCTACTATTATTATTATTATTATTATAAGTTAGTGTTGCATTTAAAAAAAAAAGGAAAAGATTTGATGTTACATAAGCTTTAACTTAAACTAAATTAGTTTACAGGTTGCAGCTTTCCAAATATCCCCAAAAGCAAATCCAGAGGATAAAGAGAGCTCTCCATTTCTAAATCTCCTGGTTGTAGCAGTTGCCTGCACGAAAGAGAAGTTTAAGATGCATTTATGAATAATTTTTTTAAAGTACAAAAAAGTTCATAAGTGCATCTTAACTTCAACACATCTTGCTAAACTTATCAAGCGATGATAAACTACAGGCAGGTCCTACCTTGGCCATATTTCATACATATTTTTGCTTGTGCTGCGCGATCGTTTCAGCAGTTATCTCTTTGTGTGTCCTGTTAATTGGGCTGGAAAGCGGCTTTGTGGGCTCAGGATTGAAGAAGGTTATTTTGTTTGTGTGTCTATAGTGAAAATACGCTGCATTGCCAAAAGTTTATAAAAACCTTTGAGAGCTTGATGTTGTCGGCTCCCCATTTGCAGCTGTAACAGTTTGAAAGCTTTAGGAGTGAGTTAGTGGGATTTTTTAAAACATTATTCAAGGAGTGAATCTGTGAGGTTACACACTGATGTTGGACGGGAAAGTCTAAAGCTACACGTGGTAACACATTTTGAAAACATGTACAAGGATCTCTCAAGTTAAATTCACAATAAAGCTATAGAAACTTTTATCTATAAATCCCACCAAATCAAACTCACCATGTTGAGCTGCTTTAATAAGAACCAAGAATATATTTTTTTATTGTGTGCGCCATCCAATACATAATTATTAGCTCTATGCGCATAACTGCTGCAAGTTTTGCATAGATGAACACAAAATGATACTGAAACGCTGGAATCAATATCAGTGTATCGATCAGATAAATATAAAACATCCCTCATTAAGTATTGCAATAAAACAACTAAACACAGAAAGTGGGTGTAGAAAATAAAGCAGAGTCATCATTACCAACATGCAGGAATTTAATATGCGAAAAATCCCAACCTTAAATGTAGCAGGTCTGTTGTACTCTGTGTGGAAAGTCCCATCTCTGGAAAGAAGAAAAAAATAAATAAAATCACACAAAAGGCACAATGCACACCGCCCCAGAAGTAAGTGGTGAATGATGCATTTTCTTTAGCTGCAAAAGTGACATTACTTTCCAAAATGCACTGAGGTGTGAAGAGAGTGTGTGGCGTCCGGCTGAGCGCCTGGTGACTCACTTGTAGTGCAGCAGCTCTGCTCCCTCGCGTTTGGAGCTCGGGTCCACCTTCACTTTTTTACAGAGTTTACGACCCTCTGAATCACTGGAAGACATCGACATGCGGACGTGAATAAAAAAGTGTTTTAAAATAAGAGGTTTCGAAATGTTAACTTTGCAAACAGACATAAAAAAAGTGTAATTCCTGTTGCTCTATAATTTGATCCATTACACAGTTCCTCTCTATTTAACCTCAACTAGAGTCCCACCCAACAGAAAGTGATTTTTTTTTTAAATTCTCGTCTTTATTTTTTCTCTCTTTACCTTTACCTTACCTTTAGCTGTTAATAAAGTGTATGATGATCTACATCATGATTCTATGTTGCTGATTAAATAAAATCATGTGGTAATGACAGCGTATGCATGTCTGAGCTAAGCGTAAGACTATCTGACAAGGTATGCTGATCTGACAGAACACCGTACCACCGCAATCGCCGCGTCGTTTTTGGATTAAGATTGAATCTGAGTTGCTGCGTACAGCCAGGCGACAATTCAGATGAGGAGCGTGTGAAGAACCTGACACAGCAAGGCTGACTTCTGGTGGCAGATGGCGGCAGTAAGGGCACAACAGGAGCAGATGTAACCCCCGACACGAACCACATTTGGAGGTGACGTGTAGTCACCTGATTCAAGATCAGTCTGCTGCTTCCAACAGCTTGACAAACTGACACGTGAGGGAAACGCCGTGAGGAAGACGCTGAGAAATGTCTCTCGGAGGGGCCGTTTGTTTTACAGGTGACCTTGAGGGAGCAGGGGACGGGGAAAAAATAATAATAAAAAAAACACGCTACCAAAACTGTTTCCATTTCGTCCTGTATCGTTTGTCGTCTTTCAGGCGGCATAAGTCGTGGGAATAAAATTACTTCTGACGCCGGAATCAGGAGGAAAAAAATCACTTTCGAAACTATTCGAAAAATTTTGAGGCAGTGATGCAAATCTGTCAGCTCCACCGTAGCCTGGGGACATCTGAATATGAAACCGAGACTTCTCGGTCTCGCTATGCTGAATGCAGGGAGTTTGTGAGGCAAAAAAAAAAAAAAGACAGAATGTTACATCGCTGACAGAAAATAGCCCAAGGTTTAAACACATTTTAACAAATGTCTTCTTATTTTGGTCTCCGACTCCCTACACTGATTTCTTGCTTGGTAACATTACTGATACACACAGACGCAGTCACTAGATTATATTAAACTTTTCAAAGTGGCACATTTTTTAAAATGCCCTTTTTTTTTTTATCGACTCAGCTGGGTGAAAATGCAAAATTGATGTAATTTCTAATTTTTTTGTGGTGGGCATTGGTTTGACATCTGGAGCATGCGAGGATTGCTGGTTTCTTTAGATTAAGAGACTTGCTTAGAATTATTTACACAACAAAATGTGAAACATTTGAAAGAAATGACCTCTGTGTGTGAAGCCAATCGATAATTTCCACCACACTTTCTTACTTTTGTAACCACCGTTTGTTTGTGGAGTCCAACTTGGGGACTTTGTCTGTGGAACAAGACTTCAAATTATACACAGAGAATCTGCCAATATGCTGATTTTTCTTTATTAAATATTCAAAAGGAAATGCAGATTGGAAATATTAAATGTTTTGGCACAATATTACTTGACCCACTATTGTTATCTTTTGAACAAGCAGGCAGTTCAGGAGCACCACTTATTTCCTTTGGTACTGATTGGCTGAACCCCATGAAGACTGTAGATGTTAGCTTCTACGCTGGTGCTAATATGTGGGTATTAATCCATTTTAGCATACATTTGTTCTATGAACTATTAAAGTAGGGAGTTAGAGGGAGTACCAGTAGTTCCAAGTGCCACTAAATGCAGCCCAAGAACCACCAGTGCTACACGTACCGTGGTTTGAGATCCAACTGTAAAAATGTCTACAACATGGTCCTTAAAATAAAACTTATGTTTGACGGAAAATTGTAAAACTTCATATTACCTGGTCTAGAACCTAGAAAAAATGATTGAAAACATGAGCAGATGTAGGACAAACTGACCCAGCGAAGAATTTTAAAATGTTCTGAGCTGCAGTACTTGAATAAAACATCAGCAGATCCTCTGAAACCAGAATCAACCAGGTACAGAACGTACAGTAACATTAAACGTAGCGTTGCTGTTCTACAAGTGACTCACAGTGGGGAGGAAAAAAAAAACGCATTACTCCGTCGGTGGACTGCTGTCCAAATCAATTAGATGAGAAAAAAAAGTGAGTAAAACAAGAACAGAAAAGTTATGGTGACCCAATAACTTGTACTAAATGATGTTCCTTCAGTACAACAAAGGCAGAGTGTGACAACGTTAGCAACTTTTTGCTCAGTGAATGCATGCAGTCATTTACCACTCATCCCTGGAATAACAGCAACCCACGCATCAATGGTCAAACACTGTGCTGAGCAGGAAACCTGGGAATGGCGACTTGTTTTCATGGATGTTAGTCACTATTGTGGGACAATAAAAGGCATTTCTGTTTTGTTCTACTCTGAGGAAAGTCTTTTCCAACGTTGGTTTAGGCAGCATCACATGTTGGTCAGCGATTTAGTGGAGATGACTGAGTGAAGGTAAGGAAGCAGAAGATTATTGCTCTGTTTTGTGTGTGTTTTTAATTTACAGAAATGACAAAAAAAAAAAAATCTTGCAATAAAATATATATGAATTAATGAGTTAGGATACTTTATTAATACCCAGATGTAAAATTCTGCCCAGAAAACAATAAAAAAAAACATCAAATATGTCTAGACAGGTGCCTGAAGCTATTAATAAAAATATTAATTTTCTACATAAAAGCAGAACTCAAAGAAAATACTCAACGTGTCATTAGAAAAACAGCCTTTCTAAGCTGATTTTAAATATTTTTCCAATTTTGCTTCCTTTCAGGCCTGGTAACATGTTCGATTGATTGATTTATGAATTTAAAAAAGTGATGAGTGAGTGAACTGGAAACGGGACCGATGGATAAGTCGCTCAAATAAATATTAGTGGAGTCACCAAAGGTCAGGAATGACATCTGAATTGCTTTTGAAGTGAAATGTCTAAATGTAAATTCAAACCCAAAATGGTTCTGAGAATGGTAACATGTATTATTTATTGGTCTTTCCCCAATGAAAAATTGTTTTGCTGGTAATAACACGTTAAGTCTAATTAACATTGCCGGGGCACTTCAGAAAGTAAAACCTTTCACAAGTATGGCATGCAGGAAGGAAGAAATGACAACATTATTTTAAAAATCCCCATTATAAAGGCCTGACATCCAGTAGTATTTGAAAAGTTACATTTGGATCCCAAATCTTGGTTTTGTTGCGCTCTACTATTCCCAGCGCGACAGCCAAAACTCGTACATCCTTCTATGTGTTCTTTGCTCTCTTCCAAAAATCCAGAGGAATGGGAAAGGGGCAGCCCGGCCCTCCATTTCCTTCTTGTGTGAGATCATCCATCCCACTGGTGGACCCGGTTGGCCAGCACTCAGGTCGCTGTCATCTGTTCAAAGTGTGTCATTCTGGCCTCGGTGGCCGTCTTCCTTGGCAGTGCCAGCAGTTCTCACGCTGCGAGATGCTCTCTCCTCTCCTTCTCCCTCTGTCCGCCATGAGCCCTCAGCTGGGGCTTTGATTCGGAGCCAGCCCGTTTGAGATGATGGAGAATTACGCCAACTGGTACAATGCTTAGCTAGAGAGCCCTGGCAATGGGTCCGCGTGTCCTGCGGTGATAAACCCGGTTAACTCTAACTCCCCCGGTGGGTGTCTGGGCCGGAATAAAGTTCTTCTTAGCATTAGCACTCGTTTTAACGTTCTAAAGTTGGTGAGGGTAAAAGAGTGAAAAAGAGCGAGCGAGGCAGAAAGTATACACTAAAGACGGACATGCACCACAGAGCGCCTTTGTACTGAAACACGGACACCGGCACCTTTGACAGGTCCTTCAAAGTGTTTTTGAATTTAGCTCTTTCTGCCTGCGTCCACCTCGTCTTCGGCCGTGGACAAGCTTGAGAGAGATTGTGAATGCTGGAATGAGCTCCAGGTGTCGAAGGGGACTTACTCCCTCCTCGTTGTTTCCAATGTTATTATACATTCTGTTCTCTCTGCTGAGAAGCAGAGTTCATGCAGTTGATGGGTTGACAGGTATGAAAAAGAAGACGGTGAAACTGACCGTCAGAAGGGCAGAAAGAAGAAGAACAAAAAAAAAAAAAAGAGTCAAAAAGTCAGATCAGTAGGGACCAAAGCAAGACGTAGCTTACAGGAAACTATTCTCGTCTTTTGTTGTTTTATTTAGCATTTTAGACTTCCACTGTGTGGTTTGAAACAGGTTTATGACACGCGAAAATCAAAACCAATGTTGAAGCAAGGATTGTCGTCTAGCTGGGAGTCTCGGTTGTGTCCAAAATTCAATAATCTGAACCATATGAAAGGAAATTAGTTGGTTTTAGAGGTGCATCGATTTATTGATTCATTAATTCTCCTTCATTCAGGAGATCGGTGATCGGCCGATACTTACACATGAAGCAGATCTAATCCATCTCAGCAAAGGCTCAGGAACGCACCAATCCATATTCTTTCACTTCCAATACCAATATCTGATGTTTGGTATCGGCTGACACCGATCTACATAGGGGTGGCAACATGGACTTAAAATTTTATCACGGCATTTTGTGGTTCTATTGTGATAACAATAAAAGTGACAATAAGCAACTCTATAGCTGTGACTGCATGACACAGCAGTCATTGCCCTACAAAAACAAATATTGTTCTTGGAATAAACAAATAATCCATTTGTAATACGCCTCTTTCAAACACCAGTCCCACAAAGAAGTGTAATTTGTATCCCTAAGCTGCACACAGTAACTAAATTCAATCATATTTGCAAATTTCATTGTTATTTATTGATGCTGTCATTGAACACTGTGGAAAGTCGCAACAACACAGACTGTTTTGTGTTTTATTAGACAGTAACTGGAATTTATCAGAGCAATAAATCAGAATTCTTATCACGAAAAGAAATTGATCACGATAAACGATACGATTAATGCCCACACCACGGTTTCAACAGAAGCTGCTGTAAAGCACATAATATATTCTCAGAAAATAAGAGACACTCTGTAAATCTTAACAGACGCTGCTGAAGCAGCTTGTGTGCCAGTATCCATGTTAGAGAAACATTAGGCATGATTTGTGTTTTAATTGACCGAAAGCATTAAAACAAGTACTGCATTAGACCCAGAGCTTCATCTGCTCTAATAAGGCCAAGCAGGCCTTCTGATTGGCCCTTTACAATAGAAACTGTGAAAAGAGTCATTTACGCCTCAGTGAACTATGAATTATGACAGAAAATACTTTTTAGAGTTGGTCAGAAAATTTCCCAGACAAAGAGAGAGCTAGTGTGAAAAGAGCATAGAAGTAAGAAGGAAAAAAAAAACTAAACAAAGAAACTCAAGAGATTTATTCCAGTCATCCAGTTACTTACCCACAGTTGACCCACGCAATGGTTCCCTGGCCCTTCACTGTTTGGGCAACGTCAGACAGCAGCTTCAGATAGGAGTCCCCCGACGTAGCTGTGGACCGAGAATAAAATGATCAGCCTCATTACCCAAACAGCTTTACAGCCCAGACAAGACGCAGATAACGCCGTCAATTCGGACAAAGAGACGACGACGGGTTGGATTACAGCCGCAGGGATCGGCGTTTCACCGAAGAAAAAAGGTGAGAAAGAAAAGAGCTCGCTGGGTTTGTGTTGGAGCGACGACGGAAGAGGATTCATGAGACGGGCCTAACACAAGCGGCTCGAGTTACGTCCGCTTTCATCACCGGACAATAGCGCCAATGTTTGGAAGATGGGAAGATTATACTGGGACACAATAGGGTGGAAACGGGACGACTTTTTGGGGGTACGAGGATGAAAAACGGGCAGGTTTCTAGGGGCTATACATCTCAACAGCTATATTACCAGATGTTATGATTGTTTTGCAGTAACTCAGTCAAAGTAGTCCACTGGAGACTTGCTCAATCTCCTATGTCAGATAAAACAAACAAAAAAAACCAACCAAGGTGTACATTTTGCTTTCTGTGATGGGGAAAAGAAAACACTGCGATACAATTCGCTCTGCATTATATCAGACTTTTATCAGCTATGGCAAGCAAAGTGGATTCCTCTGAGCAAAGCAAGCAAAGACACATTCTACTCCTTAATGCAATCCATCATTTTTATCCTCCCACTGAAAGCAGAACGTTTTGTTTAGTGTGTGAACCGAACGCGTTGTTGGACTGGTCCAGGTCCAGGCTATTTTTAGATGCAGACACCATCAGCATTCTTCAGGGCAGCACCCTTAAAGACGACCGCAAAACCAAATTAATTCATTATCAGTTTATGACCCTGTTGGGTCCAAGAGGTTGGGATATGCTGACCAGCTAGCTAAAATATGTAAAAGTCGAACATTTTCAAAGTTTGAAACTTTCTAAAAGGCGAAAAAAAAATTCTGCCAAATCCTCGACTTTTCAAAGTCAGAAAGGGTTGTAAGCATGCATTGAACCCAAACCAATGAAAGATGTCAGACTGCAGCTATCAGCTACACTGGAAAACCTGTTGGCTCAACAAACTTAAGGATGCAGAGTGGGCAGCTGCCATTTCCAACCTGTCTTCGTGTAGAGCACCAGGACGTTGGTTCTCGTCCTGAGCAGCTTCTTGAAGTCTTTGTGGTCGCTGACCTTGTCTATGAGAGGAGACACCTTCACGGCTGCCAGTGACGACGACAGCATCAGCATCTGGGGAAGCACACAGGAAACACACACACACAACTGGTTGATAAATGTTATACTCGCTGAAAGAAAAATGTCCTGAACCCGAAAGCCAAAATCCTAATTTATCCCATTTCCTCCTACGCCTGAACACAACTTCAACATTTTGAGCATTCAGTCAGAAGGAAATCGATGGCTGAATTTATTATTTCTCAGGGAGGAGGAAGGTTTCTTGCCCCGTAAAAAATAAGCTTCTGGACACGCCTAGGGATTTTTCATTAGATGCTAGAAATTATTTGAAAAGAGAAGCGTATTTTCTACAAGAGGAACTATGTCTGTGTTTGATCGAGCTACGAGAGGAAGTTTAAACATATCACAGTAAAGATGTGGATTTGTCTGCCGCTTGTTGGAAATCTCAGATTTAAGGCAAGGATCTACTTTCACTAAGAAAAGCACAAAGAAACCGCTCATTTATAAAACTTGTACATAAAAACTGCTTCTGTACAAGTAACAAGTGTTTTCTCATGGCAACCGTGGCTCAAACACTCCTTTTCCTTGTGTGTTTAATACTTACGGAATATTAAGACCATTGCAAAGAAAAAAAAAAAAATAATGTGCATGAATTTCTGCCAAAAAACTTTATTCTCTGATGTTGAAAAGCCATAAAAGTGAGGGGGGAAAAAAAAAAGTTCCCAGGATTAAAGGCAGATATTATAAAACAAGGACGTTCCCTGACATCGTAAATTCAGAAATTTATAAGACAAAGTACCATCAGAGAGAGAGAGAGAAAAAAAAAACTTTAATAAGTTCTCTGACATTATAAAAGTCAGACATTTGCGACCAAAAGATGGACCTCCTTAAGGTTTAAGTAGTAAATTTAGAAGATTGGTATTGGGACATTTTCCAAAGTGTAAGTAATAGATCCCGACTCCTTTCCTGAATCAAAACGACATCTCAGGAGGTCAGATCGCCATGAACGCCCCGCATGAGAGCCTCCTGAGATGGCGAAGAAGAAGCTGCAACTCGTCCGAATCACGTCTGCACCTGGGAGACTCCGTTCTATCCAAATATTCATAAGTACTGAGATGACATTTGGCGTTTGATCTCTGAATTCACAATCTCAGAAAACGTCAGTTTTTTCATGCAAACATCTGACTTTACAATGTAAGAGAATGTCCTAGTTTAATATTATAAATATATGTTTTTACTCAGAGAATATCCAATTTTTTGCAAACATGGTTTTTGGTAGAAATGTACTCCTTTATGATCACTCAAGTTTGTTTTTTTTAAATCAATAATAGCCCTAATACAGAAGTGTAAAAACTTTTCCTTGGCATCTGCGGTCTGTTTGTTTCTGACATTTGCTGAGAATGTTGTGTCAACTAACTTTTTTAATTATTTATAGATAAAATACTTTTTTTAAAAAATCATTTTTTTAAATATATATATACATGTATAAAAACTATGTATGTATATGCTGAAATAAAAAAAATATGAATACTTCCAAACGTAAAGTACGTTAAAGTAATTTGTTTTGATGAGGGAAAAAAAGATTTTAATTCACATTTTACACAACATTTATATCTGAAGAACATAAGCGATGTCTTAAGGTGACAGTACTGAAAAAAATAAGTGACTTCAAAACCTGCAACAGGCAGGTCCTGCACCTCCACAATTACCAGTAGCTGAGCAAATGGTGTGAAACTTCAAATATGGCAAACAAAAGCCACACCGTGTGGATTGGACTTTAATCAAAGATGACTAAAGAAAAGAAGACTGATTACACTCCAGCCACATAAAGCTATTTCTTTGCATTCTAATCCTCTGCGCGCCATCACCATTCATTAAAAAGCGCTCCGTTTCTGCCTATGGAGAACTAAATTAGTCACCGAACATTGTCTGCACGCTTAGCGGATCCAGGGGCCTGATGAGTGATATCACCCGGAATGAAAACAAGCACCTGTCAGCCTCATTTTCTACTTTAATTTCTAACGAGATTTCCCCCTCCGAGGTGCGAGTGCCATGAATCTTAAACAAGTGGCGGAAACTTACATCAAAGTACAATTTAAAGAGTAGCACAAAAAAAAAAGTATTGGAAGGCTTTCCGCGCTTATTAAAAGTTAGCATTTCTTCACAGGCTTACAACCACTATACTTTAGCACTTGTAAGAAACTCACACACAAGTCATGTTTATTAAATAAATAAATAAAAAAAAACCTTTGTGACTACAGCTAGGTTGAGCGACGAATCGCTTTCATTTCGTAGAAAGTGCCAACCGCTGCATCCGGCCATATGGCAACACGAAAGGCACACCATTAGTCTTACTAGGTATAATTTGTGCTCAGGTGTGGCGTTTTTGTCACCCGTGTGCAAGTGATTAAGTAGCCGTGCCAACAAGGTAAACATAAGATGTTTCGGTGTCTGTATGGGACCCAAGAGGGAAGCGCTTGGCAAAGAGTAGTCTCATTAGTGGCTGGCTAGGGGACATGTTCCAGAGGAGAGCAGTCTGCGGTTATCAGTCAGTGGCAACAGGAGCTAGATTAGAATGAGATGAGGAGAGAAGAGGAACATCCAAATCCCAGAGGAAATAAGCTTCCTTCATTTTGACTTGATTCCCAGTCAGGAGCACAATTGTTCCTTAACTCTTAAAGGGGACCTATGATGCAATGTTGTGCTTTTGCACGTTCTTGTACTTCCATTTGGGTCTTTGCTGCTTCCAGAAAGAATCCAAGTGCTAATAATCAAATGTTCAGTAGATGTCTGGAAAACGAGCCATTGCAAAAACCTCCAGATTATTAAGTCACCCCAGCTGAGCGCGGCCCCTCACCAACCCAAGCAGAGCTTTGCTCACTTCAGCATTAGCTAACAAGTGTGTTTGGTCATTGTACAGCTATAACCGCTGCACAACGGCTGCTAGAAAAGACAAGTGTTTTGTTGTCAGCTCCAATGAATGTGTGCATGATAAGTGATAAGGGTGGCTAACATATCATATCATTTATCATAATAAAATTTTTGACTTAGTTGTCATTCTTAATTTCAGTTATTCATGGTAAATAAAAAACAAAACTGAACGCATGATCAGAATTTTTTTTTTCTTTGCCATTTTCTCCACCGTTCACTTTATGAGAATAATAGTAAATATTGTTAATTTAGAAAATATAATTAAATGAACTTTCAGGTGTGCAACTCAGTGGTACAAATCACACTATTTTAAGAAAGTGGCATCCTGAAGTAGTCCATTTCAAACAGGAACAATTTTGGAGAACATTTGTGTTTGTGGTGCTGTGAATGCTGCGCAATACTGTCACAGTCATACAGATAGTATAGTATTTCCAAAGAGCAGAAGAAATCTTATGTTTTTTTAACAATAACAATATTTGTTGATAATCTGTTGCTAAGGGATGATGAGCACATCAGTAACCAAGGGCCATGAAGCAAACATCTGATTTCTACTTTTGCAAAACTTACCAAACTGTAAATTTCTTGGTAGATGAGCAGTATTTCAAAATACCTTGTGTTTTATAAGCAATGATTAATTTGGTGTTAAGAGATGAGCATTTTTTTCTGGTAACGAACTGTCACAAAGTATAATTCAGATTTTTACTATAGTGTTGAATGTCCGTCTTATACCACTAATCACAACCTCCCCCACCCCCACACATTTTCACTTTTCTGAAAAATTCACCAACTGCACAATTTTTGTTAAGTAGTAAGTAGTGTAAGTTAAGTAGTATTTCAAAAGAGCATTAGAAATCTTATGTTTTTTGAACAATAATGTTTGTTATTAATCTGTTGCTAAGAGATGAGCACGTTTTCTGGTAACGAGAAGCCACGAAGCAAACATCTGATTTTCTACTTTTGCAAACATTAGCACAGTGCATTAACATTAGCAGTAGCGACACTTGGAGAAAATATTGGCGATCCACTTGTAATTTTGCGTGTCATAAAGTTAAATGTAAGAGTGAAAATAAAGCCAGTCATGTAGCAAAACATTTTATTCAATATTTTACACCTATTACATTACTGCAATCAGTCGGTCTTGTAAAGTTCTAGCAACCATGAGTCAACTCTGACTGGGCACACTTTAGCAGGCCCTGTTCAAATTTCTTCAGAAATTTTCTACAATTCATTCTTGGGGTCTACGTTTAACATTGCAGAGAATCTAATCCCAGCATGTGAAAGAAATGTGCTGACTTTCTTCCTCCCACACTCACCACAGCCTCTATCAGACTTAATAAGGATTTATACTTGAATTTGACAAGAACCAGAGAAGACGCACTTGAAATATCTATAATCAGAGGAATACAGTGTGTTTCTATCAAAAGAGCCTAAGTGCTATGAAGGTGGTTATCAGAATTCATTATAAATTACTAAAGCCCCTCCATAAACTTGCCTCTTCCATCCATTAGGGCGCAAATTCAACAGAGAAAACATTTGTAAACCTTTTTACCCCAGGTGTGGGCGTTTTATTTTTAGGAAACCACATTTTAATGAAACCTCTCGAACAGAAATTTAACAATCGACACTAATTAGAATTATGCTAGCCCAAGTAGCCTTTTTTGTTGTTGTTGTTGCTCACATATTCATTATGAATTACTTAGTCTGACATGTTCAAATGCTCTTTCAACACATCAAGGCTGCGGAGAGATAAACAGCCTGCTGCTGAAGTGTCTTGTTCTATTAAAGTGGAGCAGCTCTAAAACACTGTAACATGAAATATTCAGAGCGCCGGCGCCTCCTCCTAAAGCGAAGGTACCAAAGAACGACACCGTTGTCGTCGTCAATCAAATTTTATCTGTACAGCACATTTCAGCAGCAAGGCATTTCAAGGTGCTTTACATAATTAAAGAAAAAAATAAAAAACAGTATGTGACATTAATAAATAGATTAAAAGTAAAGATAAAAACATTGAAGACATCAAAACCCGCACTCTAACCCTAATTTAGCCATAAGCAACTCTAAACAGGTTTTAAGTTGAGATTTAAAGGCACCCAGTGTTTCAGCTGTTTTACAGTTTTCTGGAAGTT